TGTAGACTAACACTGGGAGAGCTTCTCAAGACGAAATCGGAGGAAGGAACAAGGGTGCTACTACTTGTCTGGGATGATCCTACTTCAAGGCATTTCGCTGGTTTTAAATTGGTATGTCAGAAGTTCTCCATGATGCAGAGTATTTTCTTCTCTACTTAATATTTCATTTTTCTTTGTTAGGTCCTGGAAGTATGGGTGTAAACGGATCGAATTCGAATCGGATCAGGCAATATCTAAATTCGAATCCGATTAGAAAGTCTGATATCCAAATTCAATTCGATATATGACAGATACTGATTAAATATTCGAATATTCGATTAGATTCAATTTGAATTTGATTAATTAATTATTTTAGATAATTAGTAAATCTAAAAATAAATATTTTATTGTTATAAAGTGTATAAATATATAGATTATATAAAATATTTTATATATTGTATACAAGAATTAAATAATCGGTCGAATTTGGATATTTATCGAATCAAATCAGGTTATATACGAATTCGAATCCGATTAATTATTCGGTAAGAATAGAATTTCCAAATTCAACCGATTATATATTTGAATTATCCGATTTCTATTTGATTATATCGAATATCGAATTCAAAATCAGATTATCAAATACCGTTGACACCCCTACCTAGAAGCGTCAAACTAGAGTTACTGAATTGTTAATCCCATACCTGATACAGCAACTTGTCTAGTTGCCGAATTAATTTTTTTTCTTTGATTTTTTCGCCATCCTTGTGGCATGAGGGATGGCACACAGTTTGTGGCCCAGTTAGCGCAGCTTGAGCACAAAGCCCAAAGGCCTGTGTACCGGGCCTAGGTTCAGGGCTTAGCTACGTCTGGTTTTAAATTGGGCCCAGTCAATATCTAGATTATATTGTCAGATACATGTATAAGAAGTTGAACTCAAATGCAGAGGGAAGGGCCTGGATTGTCAAATTGGATTTGACCTTGGGCTCAGGTCTTAGGTCCAATTCTTAGGGTTGAGATTAAACCTGGCCTATCTCTGGCTTGAACTCCTAGTATGTTCCAGTGCAAAATTGAATTAGATACATATTTTGCACATGGTTCAGTTATACATCAATAATTTGTGTTATTCAATGAAAATTCATCAAAATTCAAGGAGGTGAGGAGTTTTATTGACTAACAAGAATACATGGGTATTTATATACTGTGCTCACATAGCATCTACTTGCATATTGGAAATATCTTCCATACAAATTTGTTAAATTTATAGGAAAATGTTCCCAATGTAGGAATGTGGGACTGGATTCGCAACAGAGTTTTTACTTGCAAGGAATTTCGTCACTCGTAATTGAACACATACCAAAGGTTGAATGGTATAGGAAAAAAATGCAGAAAATATATAGGAACATGCTACGTTGATATCGTCTGGGTCAGTTTTTAAAACAATGGTCTGAATATGTTGCTGATAAAGATTTTGCAATTTGCAGAAAGGAAAGATGGATACCTATAATAAAGAGATTCATCATTTTTTCAAGCATTCATCAGTAAATGTGTTGCTTTGTAAACGAATTGCTGCTGGTAGACAACACGGCATGTTGAAAAAACAGGTTTGAAGAGAAAAAAAATATAATTCTAACCTATAATTTATAATCTTGATGGTGCACGATCTGACTACTCTTAGCTGGAGGGCGATCCGGATTCCAGGTGGACGGTGAGTTGGATTGATCTACAAAATAATATATCAGAGAACTCGGGGTAGCTAAACAGGCGAGGTCGCTCTAATGCTTAAGTCTTTAAGTATAGTGTAAATGTGAGCTGAATGCTTAAGAGTTTGAGTGCTAGAGAGTAGAGTAATCCCGCATACCTCTCTTTTTTTCTCCCCCTAGGTCTTTGGGGTTGGTGCGTTATATAGGCATTGTTCAGTGTGAGCCTCACGCACCGCATCCGAGATTTCCGGGAGATCGTGCCTAACCGGTCCGAAATCATTGGAGGTAAACATCATGCACGTTGACCACCCTCCAGAACGTTCGGTACGTGGGCCAACTTTTAAGAATCATGGGAGTGTCGGGATATGCATGCCGAATTTGTCGGCGAGCACGTCTCGCAGGTCACCACCTGGACCTCAATCAAACCGGCACGCCCTCGAGGTAGGTCGCTCCTTGTGTCAAGGTCACTTCGGTCCGTGACGAGGTGCTGCAAGTTGGCCCTAGACGAGATGCCTCTAGCCGACCTGAGTTGTGGTCGAGGTCGCCAGGTTGGCGGTGATGGCAAGTCGCTTGATTTGGGCGAAGAGAAACCACGATCTGGGACTCCAAATCATTGCTTAGGTGGTGTCTATATGTCAACTAGCTGTTCCAAGATGCCATGTATCATAATGTCATTGGAGGGCCAAATCCACCCTCATCAAATCTCATTGTCACAAGCATCTAATTTCAAATTCTCTTATTTATGTATATATGGTAGAATGGCAAGCTCCTCCTTTAATTTTGTAGAGACAACAACTTTGGCCCTAGTCCAGTCCATCTTCTGATTAAACTCCCGCTAGAAATATTAGTTATAGTTGCAGAGGGTCTTCGTAGAAGAGATCAACTTCCATCTAATTCATATTTTATTCAATGATTAAAAACAATTTAGAAATGGAACCACTTTTCTATCTGGGTGACAGATCAATGGTAATGATATCATAAATTAGACATAAAACAAAAACAGATAAAAATAAATAAAAGCTAAAAGTTAAAGAAATATTGCGGGAAAATTAGTCATAAATTATAGATTTATCATAACAAATAAAATAAGTGTTATTAGAATTACAAGCTAAAAATAAAAAAAATAATAAACAAAAAGAAATGGAATATCTGGCTTGTAACACATTCATAGGGTCAAACACTTAAAAGATTCAATCGACTGAGTATTTGCCTTAAAAATGAGTCTAGATCTTCTGAGCACAATACATTGCTAGCCATGTTTATCCAGTCTCATGTCCAAAATATCAGTGATATAAAGTACAAAAGATGTTTCCGATGTACGGCCATATTTGTCCAATTGCACAACACATTCCTGGTTCCAATTTCAAATGAGGATTTAAGCAAACTTTTGACAAGTTCATTATTATTCAATGTGCAAAACATTGAATGATGGTCTTGCAACATGTGTTAGCAGATTATCAATTACCTCTTTCTTCTCATCATAAACCTACCTTCTGTACACCATGTCAGCAAGGCAAGGGACAGCGCCTTCTATTTGTTCCTTGTGATTTAGTTGTTAATGCTCCATTATACATTATTTATTCAGATTTGTGGGGCCCCTCCCCAATTAGATCTGTTAATGGTTATCAGTTTTACATTATTTTTGTGGATGGTTTTACTCGTTTTACATGGATATATCCATTGTTTCGTAAATCTGATGCACTTGCAATGTTTCTTCAGTTCAAATCTATGGTTGAAAATTTACTTGAACAAAAAATCAAAATTCTCCGGATAGATGGGGGCCTTTAATTTGTCAAGTTTAATGGTGTTCTTGCTAGCCATGGCATATTACATCGGGTTTCATGCCCATACACTCAATAACAAAATGGCTTTGCCGAGAGAAGCCATCGTCACATTGTGGAGACAGGATTAGCCCTGCTTGCTCGTTCCTCTATTTCTCTTCATTACTGGTATGATGCTTTCCACACAGCGGTGCACCTAATCAATCGCCTTCTACAGTGCTTGGTTATGTGAACCTGTTTGAAAGATTGTTTGCCAAGAAGCCCAACTACAATTTACTACATATCTTTGGGTGCCAATGTTTTCCTATACTTCAGCCCTACAACAAACATAAACTTGAGTTTCAGTCCCGAAGTTGTGTTTTTCTTGGCTATCCGGATGGTTACAATGGATACAAATGCCTTGATGTTGCCTCAGGCCACATATACATTTTCCATGATGTGGTTTTTAATGAAGATTGTTACTCGATGTGTTCTCTATCTTCCTCTACTGCTGCTTCAACTGATTGCTCTCACTCACTTGGGCCACCCCTTGTGGTACCTAAGCAATGGTTACATACAACGGCCCACCCTCAGCCTAGTTCAACTAACAGTTCTCAGTTTGGGTATTTGGTTTCTCATCATCCTCACCTGAACCAAATTCAGTATCGCCTTCTATTGCTCCTGCAATTACAGTTCCCCACATATCTGCTGAACCGATGTCTACAACTTCTCCACATGTATCTAATGAGTCGTTGTATACAACCCCTCCCCTAATTGGGCCCTCAGCTCCATCCGTTGTACCTCAAAACAACAACCCTATGGTTACACGATCTAAAAATGGCATATGGAAACCAAAGACCTTCTCTGTCACAAAGCATCCTCTGTCCACTGAGTATTGTTAACTAAACTCTTTTCATCAGGCCCATAGTGATCCTAAATGGTGGGCCGCCATGGATTCTAAGTTTAATGCCTTGGTAAAAAATGGGACATGGACCCTTGTTCCTAAGCCACCCAATGTTGAGCCCATTAGTTGTAAGTGGGTTTTCAAGCTGAAGCATTATCCTAATGGAACAATTGAACGTCACAAGGCATGACTTGTTGTTCGAGGTTTTACTCAACAGGTTGGCATTGGTTGCACAGATACTTTTAGCCTTGTTATTAAGCCCACTACTATCTATGTCATTTTGGACCTTGCTATTTCCATGGGCTGGTCACTCCAACAATTGGATGTTCAAAATGCATTCCTTCATGGGTACCTTGCTGAAACTGTGTATATGTCCCAATCACTGGGATTCAAGGACCCCCACCATCCTCATCATGTGTGCTTACTGCATAAATCGCTTTACGGGCTCAAACAAGCGCCTCGAGCATGGTATCATAAACTTACCAACTTCTTGCTCTCTTGTAGGTTTAATGCTTCTCAGTCCGATACTTCTCTCTTCTTGAAACATGGTGGGTCATCCTCTCTTTTTGTTCTCATCTATGTCGACGATATTATTGTCACGGGATTTGATTCCAAGGCTGTCTTTAATCTCATTCATTTGTTGGGTTCTCAGTTTGCTGTTAAGGACCTAGGCCCCTTGCATTACTTTTTGGGTGTGGAAGTTCTACCCACTAGAACGGGCTGGTCGCCCTCGCACTATCCCTACTCCGTAGTCCGTAGGGAACTTCATGGCCAGGTAGTTGGTGGAAACCGCTACGCAAAGTGCGGGGGTAATAGGTCAACCTACTATGGCATTGTACGGGGAGGGAGTCACGACCACCGGGAATGTATGCTCGAACCTCGTGATGTTGGGCCACATGCCGACCTCTACGAGTACTGAGACTCGACCTAGTGGTCTGACCTCTTCTCCACTGAAGTCCACCGAGGGTGTATCTGTTGGCTTGAGATCGCCTTCCTAGAGCTGGAGCTTGTCGAATGCGTCCTTGAACAGGATTTCCGCTGAACTGCCTGAATCGACTAGGTCACACTTCACCTCGAAGTCGTTGATCCTCATCTTTATGACTAAGGCATCATCATGGGGATATTGAACCCTGTGCGCATCATCCTCCATAAAGAATATTGGATCTTTGAGCCTAGGTTGCTTCAGTGGATTTTGCTCCTCACGTTCCAGTTTGCAAACCTAGGCTTTCCCTGCTACTGAGGTGCAACCCGCGACATTGGAAGGTCGTAGAGATGAAGTGCGAGGTGAACATCTGCACGAACTGCGCCCAACTCTTGATCATCCCGGGCGCGAGGTTTCTGTACCATGTGCAAGCTACTCCTTTGAAGGTCGTAGAGAAGGCAACGCACATGCAAGATTCATCAGCCCCAGCTAGGTGCATCTGGGACTGGAAGGAGTCTACATGATGATTTGGGTCGAATGACCCGTCATACTTATCCAGTGGAGGTACTTTGAAGTCCTTCGGCATCAGGGTCGCCAGGAGCTCAGAGGACAAAGGAGATGACACGGAGAGGAGGGGAGCGGTCTTCGTGGCTTCCGAGCTCGCCTCCTCTTTACCTTTAGGTTGCTCGGGCTGACTAGGTCTGGTGAGCTGGCTTGGAGCTACTGCTCGACGTGCCTTAGGACACCGCCTTTGCTGCTTCTTGACTGGCTCCGCATTAGTGTTGCTGACCTCCGTGTTGTCGAGAAATGTCCTAGCATGGAGTGGCTTGGACTGCTGACGCTGGCTGCTGTGAACAGAGGGGCCTCGTCTGGAGTCCGCGGCCAGAACCCCGGACCGGTACCCTACAAGCGAACCTTCAAGTTGTGAGGGCCGAGGTGAAGTAGCTCTGGCGGGCTGAGTGTCTCTCGACCTGTTCACTTGCGGCGAGGCGGGAGGAGTAACTTGCCTTTCCCTCCTACCGCGGGATGAGACCTAGCTCTTGAGAGGATTCTGGATCTGGGAAGTCTCTCCCCGACGAGGAGGGCGATTATTCTGATGGAAAGACTTGTTCTAGTGTGCCGCCGGATGCCGAGGTGGAACCGGTTGTTGATTATGTTGCAGCGGTGGGAATTGCTGCTGGTAAATGTGGTGCAAAACCTGCTGCTGGTAATGCTGAAATTGCTGGACCTGATGCATTTCGGCTTGAATAGCACGCATGCAGTGTACCAGGTCGTCGAGCTGATTCTGTCCGACTCCAGGGGGAACCATAGTTGGTTCAGAAAAAGTCGCACCCACTACAGGAAGAAGTGGGGCATTCACGGGCACAGTTGCTTGAGGCATAGTCAGCGTTGGTGAACTAACCGATGCATACAGTTGGGATCTGAGGTTGCCCCCCGGAGACGTTCATTTCACCGTTCTGTCTGGCGTTGCTAGAGGATGCCATTGATTATGAGTTTGAGATTTTTGGTGGAAAGAGGCTTCTAGTAGCGATTCCCATAGATGGCACCAATTGATTTAGCGCGATCTGGCTGCTCCCAGCTGGAGGTGACTTGGCTTCTAGACGGACGGCAGGCTGAACTTGCAAGCATATCAGAGAACCCCGGGATGCTAACCCGGTGAGGTCGCTCTGATGCTTAAGTTAGTAGGCTAATAGCGAGCTGAAATTGCTTTGAAAATGAGAGAGCTTGAGAGCCGGATATCACACATACCTTGCACCCCTGGGGGGTGGAGCCTTTATATAATGGAGTCCTCGCGGGTTTCGCGAAGTAGTTCCGGAATCCTCCTCATGGTGAGATCCGTTTCCACGATAATGGGAGATAGTGTTGCTAACTGATAAGGTTTATCGTGTCCGCCCGAATCGGCCGGGGGAGATAACACTGGCTGTTACGCGGCGTGATCCCGTGAAGTTCGGGAACCGTCGAAGGGATTTTCAGGAACCTCACAATGGCACGTCGGTATCCCCGAGCTGACACCTTTAAGTCCCGAACTGAACTGAATGTCGAAGTGCCTTGGCATCTAAGTGTTCTTGTTGTGATCTAGTAACGAGGTGATCTTCGGGGTGACCCTATCTCGAGGTCACTTTAGCCCGGGATAGATGGGTACCCGAGACTGTAATGCGGCGGGCTGATGTTTCTGAGTTGTCATTTGCTTAGTCAGGTCGTGTCCACGTGTCCCCCTTTTACGAGTTCAAACGAAATCACCCTTCATCAAAATCTATGGTTGAAAATTTACTTGAAAATAAAATCAAAATTCTCCAGACAAATGGGGGCGTTTAATTTGTCAAGTTTAATGGTGTTCTTGCTAGCCATGGCATATTACATCGGGTTTCATGCCCATATACTCAACAACAAAATGGCTCGTCGAGAGAAGCCATCATCACATTGTGGAGATAGGATTAGCCCTGCTTGCTCGTTCCTCTGTTTCTCTTCATTACTGGTATGATGCTTTCCATACAGCAGTGCACCTAGTCAATTGCCTTCCTTCTACAGTGCTTGGTTATGTGAACCTGTTTGAAAGATTGTTTGCCAAGAAGCCCAACTACAATTTACTACATACCTTTGGGTGCCAATGTTTTCCCATACTTCGGCCCTACAACAAGCATAAACTTGAGTTTCGATCCGAAGTTGTGTTTTTCTTGGCTATCCGGATGGTTACAAGGGACACAAATGCCTCGATATTGCCACAAGCCACATATACATTTCCCGTGATGTGGTTTTTAATGAAGATTGTTACCCGATGTGTTCTTTGTCTTCCTCTACTGTTGCTTCAACTGATTGCTCCCACTCACTTGGGCCACCCCTAGTGGTACCTAAGCATTGGTTACATACAACGGCCCACTCTTAGCCCACTTCAACTAACAGTTCTTAGTTTGGGCCTTTGGTTTCTTCATCATCCTCACCTGAACCAGATTCAGTATCGCCTTTTATTGCTCCTGCAATTACGGTTCCCCACATATCTGCTGAACCGATGTCTACAACTTCTCCACACTATCTAATGAGTCATTGCCTACAACCCCTCCACTAATTGGGCCCTCATCTCCATCCATTGTACCTCAAAACAACCACCCTATGGTTACATGATCTAAAAATGGCATATGGAAATCACAGACTTTCTCTGTCACAAAGCATCCTCTGTCCACTGAGTATTGTGAACTAAACTCTTTTCATCAGGCCCATAGTGATCCTAAATGGTGGGCCGCCATGGATTCTAAGTTTAATGCCTTGGTAAAAAATGGAACATGGACCCTTGTTCCTAAGCCACCCAATGTTGAGCCCATTAGTTGTAAATGGGTTTTCAAGCTGAAGTGTTATCCTAATGGAACAATTGAACGTCACAAGGCATGACTTGTTGCTCGAGGTTTTACTCAACAGGTTGACATTGATTACACAGAGACTTTTAGCCTTGTTATTAAGCCCGCTACTCTTTGTGTCATTTTGAGCCTTGATGTTTCTATGGGCTGGTCACTCCAACAATTGGATGTTCAAAATGCATTCCTTCATGGGGACCTTGCTGAAACTGTGTATATGTCCCAACCACCGGGATTCAAGGACCCCCACCATCCTCATCATGTGTGCTTACTGCATAAATCGCTTTATGGGCTCAAACAAGCGCCTCGAGCATGGTATCATAAACTTACCAACTTCTTGCTCTCTTGTAGGTTTAATGCTTCCCAGTCCGATACTTCTCTCTTCTTGAAACATGGTGGGTCGTCCTCTCTTTTTGTTCTCATCTATGTCGACAATATTATCGTCACATGATCTGATTCTTAGGCTGTCTCTAATCTCATTCATTTGTTGGGTTCTCAGTTTGATGTTAAGGACCTAGGCCCCTTGCATTACTTTTTGGGTGTGGATGTTCTACCCATTAAAACGACATGTTCTTATCACAAAAGAAATATATCTCAGATCTATTGTTGCAAATTCACATGGGTGGTTCTAAGCCAATTACCACTCCTTTACAGCCTGGTGTTCATCTCTCTTAATCTGAAGGCACTCCTCTTTCGGACCCACGTGAATATAGATGGGTTATTGACGCACTACAGTATATCTTAGTCACCAAGCCCGATTTATCATTTGTTGTTGCTAAACTATGCCAGTTCATGCACTGCCCAACTTCAGCCCATTGGGCCCAAGTTAAGTGCTAGCTGCGTTATCTCAAGCACACGCTTACATTTGCCCTCACCGTTGACAGTTCTCGAGATTTTTCTCTTACTACATTCTCTGACGCGGATTGGGCTAGATGCCCTGATGATAGAAAGTCTCATGGAGGTTTTTGTGTTTTCGTGGACCCCAATATTATTTCTTGGTCCTCCAAGAAGCATCCTACTATTTTGAAGTCTAATACGGAAGCTGAATACAGAACTATTGCCCTCGCTGCCTCCGAACTCCTTTGGCTTCGTTCCTTGCTCATGGAACTTCACATTCCACTCTCCACTCTGCTAGTACTTTGGTGCGATAATATAGGGGCTACGTACCTCTCTTCCAATCCAGTTTTTCACTCTCACTCTAAGCATATTGAAGTTGATGTGCATTTTATTCGCCATCATGTCCAACATAACAACCTTGTCGTTCGTTTTATCTCTACCAAGGGCCAACTTGCAGATGGTCCACAGTTTGCATGGCTTCGTGGCAAATTGAAAGTTGACACCCCAACCTTCAACTTGCAGGGAGTGTTAGGGATATCATTGTCCCTAGACATGTGAAGACCTCCATCATCTCTGAATATAGAGTTCGTGATAAGGGGCACCAACAAATTGATAAGTCATGCCCTATTTAGGAGTCTTGTACATTATGTTAATGTTACGTGTACACTAACGAAACTGATTGTACAGATGACTATATATAATACAATACGACTCCACTATTAATCAGTTGAGTGTGGAATTATCTTCTTTTAATCTCTGCTGTTCATCTCTGTTTCAACTTCAAGTTCCCATCAAGTTTGTTCAAGTTCTTTCACTTTATAGTGGAAAACATGCTCAAAATGCTTACAAATTAAATTGTTCCACACATTATTAATTCATTCTTTTAAACATCACAGCGAAATTTAAAGAAAAAAAATTCATCACTAAACTTGACTTTTCATTTTTTTAATCATGATTTAATGAAGAATCTTAACCAGTTGTTAGTGATTTTACCCAAAATCTTTATTTCAGATCGGTCTAATAAAAATTAGGGGAAGTTAATACCATTTTCTCCAACATTTAAGTGCTTAATTTTTTGGGTAATTTGAGTTCATCTCCATTCCCAATTCGCAGGGGGGGGTTGGCCGTCTGGGTTTAAATACATTTGGCAAATCAATAAAACAATTTTGTGGGAAAATGCTCTAAAAAGGCATAATTTTTTCCATTGACGACATTTGTACTTGTGGACCACTCAACTTTAATTAGGAAAGAGAGTGTCATCTCTCTTTAATAAATTGTATTTGGACAGAATGATGAGTGCTGGAATGACCTGTCGACCTGGGTTACATTATTGACAAAGGGATATATCATAGTTGAATCATTAATGTTATTAAAGTATTTAATATAAAATATGAGAATCCGGCCAGTTGCACATTGGGAACAGATATTCTCAATGTGCAGTTATATAATATGTTGTAAATCATCAATAAAAAGTAAATAGACCATATAATAATATCTTTAAAGCAATTTGTTGAAGTTATTATTTAATGTATAATCAATTGTGAAAATAAACTATATTTGGAAATGTAATATAAAGTGGCCAAATTTGGACAAACACAATAATGAATATAGTTGCAAGAGAAGCATTGACTTCACTTCTAAATTCTAGCTTTGACATTATTGATAAGTGCTGTATTTCCCATTATCAGTAGAGTTGCACTCGACATGGGTGTCAGCAAAGTTGTTATGACAGTGTACAGAAACATCATTGCACTGATTTTGTTGGGACCTTGTGCTTATTTCTTAGACAAGTGAGTTTGATATCCATCTTGCGTGATCCTCATGTTTTGGAAACATATAGGAGGCAGCTCATCTAATTCTTCTTCTTCTTCGTTCTTTGTTATAAAAGAAATATATATGACTGGTTAATTTTAATACTCAGGGAAGCAAGACCACCTCTTACTTGTTCTTTGCTGGTTAAGTTCTTCCTTCTTGGATTACTTGGGTAGGTGGAAACTTGTTGAGGTTTTCAGTATTAGTTGCTCAATTCCTTTTGTCTGTGTAGTTTGCTTCTTATTCGCTTTTCTTATGTTCAGGGTCAGTGTAGTTTGCTTCTTATTCGCTTTTCTTATCTTCATGGTCACCGGTCTTCAAGGGTTTTTTCTCCTTGGTTTATGCTATATGTCTCCAACCTTTTTATCAGCGCTACAAAACTCAGTTCCAGCAATTACTTTTGCCATGGCTTCAGCTTTGGGGTAATTTTTCAAGGACTTGAGAATTTCCCAAGTTAATAAATTTTTGTGGTTGTTTATGAAAGTAGTCTTATGAGACTTCTTTGATCTCTCTCTCTCTCAGGTTTGAGCAAGTTAATGTCTTAAGAAGAGATGGGTTGGCAAAAGTGGTAGGAACCATTTTAAGTATAGGAGGTGCAACCATTATTACTCTCTACAAGGACCCTCCTCTGAACTTCTTACAGCACTCACAGAGGAAATCAGTAGAGGAATACATGGGCTTGTATTCAACGGAAGTGAAGAATTGGGCATTGGGTTGTCTTTATGTACTGGGCCATTGCTTATCATGGTGTTCTTGGATGATACTTCAGGTAATTAGAAACTAATTAATTATTCTGAGGACAAGAAGTATATATGTAGTTCCTATGATCTTTAGCAATCTTGATACCAACTTTTATATACCCGCATGCATAGGAGATGTATATAAATTTCTGGCTAATAAATTCAAAGTTAGAAATTGCTCTATAGAATTAATCTAATTATAATCTATAGATCTTAATATCCTATTATCCCTGATGAATTTGCTCTTCTTCAATTTATCTTTTGATGTCGATCTTCATTCATATTTTATGATCATAATTCTTTTCTCCCAATTATATCCACAATTCCCTCATTAACAGGCTTCAATAGTAAGAAAGTATCCAGCTAATAAACTATTTATCACCTGGTTTACATGCCTCTTCGGACTACTGCAGTTTCTGATAATAGCAGCCTTTACAGAAACAGATATCAACCACTGGAAAATCCAATCAAGAGAAGAACTTATCGCCATCCTCTTTGATGTAACTCCCTCAAAATCCAACAACCATATTTCGTTTTTACTGAGTTTATGCTCATATGATAAATGAATTTGATGGTCGAATTCAGGCTAATCTAATTTGGCGCTCTCCTTTGCTTCATTCTCTATTTCTTTCTTTCTGCTCATCATCTTAGGCTTCGTTTGTTTGGGGTGTAAAAACTGGTTCGATGTATTTTTATATTCCGGTTCAGTTTTGCGGCCATTTGGATGGAGTGTAAAAATACACCGAAAACCGGTGTAAAAGTGATTTTCGGTTTTATTTTACTTGGATTATCGATGTAAAAATCCATCGAAGTAAAGAAGGTGTAAACCAACGGCTCTTCGTCTTCGTCTTCGTCTCCTCCCATCGTCTCTCTCTCACCGTCGTTTGAAGTAAACAAGGGTACTACGCTTCATCTTCGTCTAGTAGTCCTTCTCTAACCGTCGCTTCGTCTCCTCTCATCGTCTTCGTTTTCGTCTTTCAAAGTAAACAAGGGCACTTCGCAAGCCCTTGTTTTCTCACCGCCGTTCTGCTGGTCCTCTTCCACTCCCTCCCTCTCTTTCGCTCTTTCTCTTCTTTTCTCACTGTTTTCTTTCTATTTCTCACAGGTTCGAATGCCCTCATCTCAGAACACAGAGACGTCCATCATCCCCAACTCGCAACGAACAGAAGGTATCAAATCTAGAGCTTGTCATTCGGATCTGAGGGAATGCTGTAATTCAGAAATTTACAATTAATTATAGTAAAGACAGTTATTATGGTTAATAATTTTCTAATAATTATTTTCAACTTCTTAATTTCAGTTATTTAATAAAACTTTCCTTAAGTATTAGTTTGCCATTAATTAATAGCCATGAATAATCACTGTTCTTAATGTGTTCAAGCGAATCAAAGTGTCATTAATTAATTTTCTATTTGATACGTAATAATTAATTATTGGGAAATTGTTAAAACTTATCATGAGTTTTCAGCATTTCTCTTAAATTCACCACAACTTTTTAAATGTCTAAAACTCATCATGTCATTAAGTTTTTATTTTTCAAAACTCACTTTCCATTAGTGCACCATTAATTAGGGGTGAGCAAAAAGAGCCAAAAACCGAATCGACCGAAACCGAACTGAAAAAATGGTTAACCGATAGTTTCAGTTCAGTTTGATATTATTAAAAAACCGATAGTTCCGGTTCAGTTTCAGTTAACCTTTTAAAAAAACCGACAGTTAACCGAACCAACCAATATATACTAATAATACATATATTATATATAATACATTATATAATGTATAATTTATATATTATATTTTTAAAATTGAATAGAGGATTCGATTTTAACCTAATCGTCCTTTCCACTTTCCCTCTCCGAGCTCTCTCATCTCTCTTCTTCCCCAATGGATCGACAGCCTCCGCCCTCTGACCGAATCACCGACATCCAACGACCTCCGAGCTCTGAGCGTCCGACTGACATGCCAACTGTCTTAGTATCTCTCACTTTCAGTTCTCTCTCTCAGACTCTCATATCTTCTTCTTCCCCAACGGGCCAGACCAACCGATGGGTAGATCCATGGAGGGAAAAGGAAATACTTGCACTCTACTAAGTTTTACCCCTTCAAAATTCAAAGCAAGAAGAGAGGAGATTATTCGAAGTATAGAGCTCTCAGGACTCAAATCCACTTTCGAACTAGTAGATCCATGGAGGGAAGAGGAAATACTTGCACTCTTGAGAGTCAGGTCTAGCATGGAAATTGGGTTTTCTGACTTCATTTAGGAACAACACATGTTTCCAGGTATGTATCTTATTATTCCCATGATTCCTTCTTGTTTAAGCGGTTATGACTTCATTTAGGTTATTTATTTATTTTTTCTGTTTTTCTTTTCTCTTTAGAGCTGAATTATGAAAAATTTAGGAAATGCTTGAAAAACCAAGGTTTTTAGGAAATGCTTAACTTTTGGGAACTATTAACAGAAATGCTTAACACTTGCTTAATGAAAATTTTAGGAAATGCTTCAAGGTATTTCCCTTTTTTTTTAATTTTGAGTGCATAAAAAAAACTGAAAAAACAAATTGCGATAACCGATCCATCGGTTAACCGATTGCATTGGTTCGGATAATTAAAAAATCGAACAGATTGGTTCGGTTCAAAAAAATGACACGGTTCACCGTGAGAACCCCTACTGTTAATGCCTCTTAATAGAGGTGTCCCTGTCAGCATAAATAACAATTTTCATAACCAAATTACCCTTGAATGGCGAGTTAGAGGAAAAGAGTCTTTTTCAGTTTTTAATTTCTTTTTTTTTTACATTTTTAGTGTTTTTTTTATAATTTCCAATGTTTTTTTTATTTTCTATTTTCAAAAATCGATAATTTTTTCTGTATTTTTTGTTATTTATTTGCAATTTCTATGTTTTTCTGAAATTTTTGGTGTTTTTTCTACAATATTTATTTTCTGATTTTGTTTTTCAATTTCTATAGTTTCTATAATTTGAAAATATTTTTTTTATTTGTTTTCAATTTCTATAATTTTTTCAATTTTTTATAGTTTTTGTGTTTTTATGTATTTTATATTTAAAAATATTTTTTAAACTTTTTTCATGTTTAAATATTAATATATATGTATATTTATCTATGAAGATTAAAACGATGATATATTAACACATTTACTGTGTTTAACGTGAAGTTAATAGTTTTAGACACTTTCCCTTAATTATTTATTTTATTATTAATAATTATTAAACAATAAGCGAACAGCTGTAAATCACTTTATCCATATAATTAGTGAAGTGATCGGACAGATGAAATTTATAAAAGCGGAAAAGTGACCCGACCCACAATTAGAGAAGCGGACAGGTGTAAATCACTTTAGCCAAATATCTTCTTCTTGACCCAATACATCGCTATTCGCTACAGTGATCGCTCGCAAGGAGTCCCGATAATCTTTTTCCGATGTGAAAGCCGACCAAATGAAAGAAAAAACGACCAAAATATTAATTTGGACGTCTGGTTTGTGATAAAAAACAAACAAATTTTGTATGTGTTTGGTTTCTTTTATGTTTATATAATAATTGTGTGTCATTAAACTCTACATCAGCATAACAGTGAAAAAACTGTTTATGAAAACTTTAAAAATTAATTTTTACAAATAGTTGATATACACAAAAACCAAAATTCACTTTTATTATTTTTTATATATACAAAAAAAAAGAGAGAAAATCTACTAAAGTGCACTACACAATATCTCGTGGTTCACTACACAAAAACCGAAAAAACGGGCAAACAAATAAAGAAAAACAAAAAAAGAGAAAAATAATTAAATATGTAAATTGCATAGCATGCGGAAGAACTTGCATTTAGGTCATGTTTATTTTTCGCCATAGATATCAGATCAAAATCCCTGATTTAGGTGGTATTCGGTATATATCGTGCTTATCTACGATATATTGCGTTTGAAAACAAACTACAGCTCATTTGCATCGTTCGGTTCATTATGGTGTGGAACGAATCACAATATCTCGTGAAACAATTCACACTATATCACAAAATCTCGACAATGGTTAAAAATCGTGGATTGCTCCATGCAACGGTGAAAAACTCTAAGAGCCATTGATTCCGTGCTTCGCATTATTATTCCATCTTAAGAAAAATTATTGTTGTAGCTCTTTTTTTGAGGAAACCATTGTATGCTCTCCCATCTGTCTGTCTTGTCGCTAGAAGAAGGTGGCCAACACCGGTCAAAGGTTACCCCAATTCATTGAATATCTATTCATCAACTATTTGAATAGATGTTCATTTGGATTTTTTTTATCACAAACGTTTATTTGGGATTGAACCACTGCTATCTTGTGTCAATACATTGAACGGTCGGCCCGTTCTGATAAAAAAAATAAAAAAATAAAAAGCGGTTAAAACCATTAAATGGTACAAATGGTTCAATCGCCTGGGTCAGCAGTTTGCTGACCAAATCAACATTTTTTTGCCAAAATTCGATTTTGGCAAAAAACAAATGATCGATTCTTAGTTTTTTCGATCCAACCGTTTGAACCGAACAGTCGACCCATTCTGACAGAAAAAATAAAAACGGTCAAAACCGTTGAACGGTTCGAGCAAGGTTCAAGGTGTCGACACGTATCGATTGATACGTATTGTTCCGAGACCTCTCCGATACGCCCCAACAATGGGTGTATTGGGGGTCTGACCGGTTCGGGGGGTGGTGGAGCCCTAAATTAGCCCCCCCTGAACTGGTTTTGAAAAAAAAAGGTAAAAAAAGGTATCGATTCGCTCGATACGCCCCTACCGGCATATCAAGCGAATTGATATTTTGAACCTTGATGGTTCAACTACTCGAGTCAGCGGTTTGCTGACCAAATCAACGTTTTTTTGGCAAAAAACGGAATCAGTCACCTGACTAATTCTTGGTTTTTCTAATATGACCGTTTGAACCAAACGGTCGACCCGTTCTGATAGAAAATATAAAAAAAAAATTAGAAAATGATCAAAACCATTGAATGGTTCGAACGGTTCAATTGCTCGAGTCAGCGGTTTGCTGACTAAATCAACATTTTTTGGCCAAAATCCGATTTTGGCGAAAAATGAAACCGGTCACCTGACTAGTTCCCGATTTTTTCGATCCAACCATCTGGTTTGTTCCGGGTTTGAAAACCATAGAAAAAGTAATAACATTTAATTGGATAAATGTATATTTTATTATTTATTATTTTACATAAATAAATAATAGTGATGTCAAATTGTCAATAACTTCATAAAACAATATTAGTAATATTATTAATAATATTTTTATTAATTAATAAGTTTTGAATATTATTTTTCATTAATATTATTAATCATTGTTAATTATTAGTAATTAGTAACAATATTATTAATTATTATCAAATTTTATAAATATTATTATTAATATTGTTAATTATTGTTAACATTATGTTATTAATCATGAATTTTTAATATTATTTTTATTAATATTAATAATTATTTTTAATTATTATTACTAATTTTAGTTAATATTAATAGAATTATTTGTTATTAAATATTATTAACATTATTGGTAGTATTATTAATTGTTAATTTTTTTTAATTTATTAATTTTTTTTCTATTATATATTTTACTAAAAAATAAAATATTATATTTTAATGATTAATGACATAAATAATCTCACATGTTGTATTTGAGATGCATGGAATCAAACACAAGATGTGGACAAAAATGTGCCACACCTTGCAGAACACTCATTAAGATGTGGTATGGGTGCAGAACAACTATCCTATTGGGGTGTAAAGTGTTACACTGCACCTGTGGTGTTGATGAAAACACATCTCCCAATTTCTCATCTAAGTTACGGAACACTCTGTTAGCTTTTATATGTTTTGGTGATTTTATGAGGCGTGCTATCCCCATCTTATGTAGCACCTTTCTATTTATATAAAAAAAAAAAAAAAAAAACAACAAAAAGATATCAGACCAAAACCGAACCTTGTGATGCAAATAACCTAAAAAGCAAATGATAATAGAATGATACATAGGAACTGTTTAAACCTTAAATGTAGTATGCATGGGCCTTTCGATCCCTTTATTTTAAGGTCATATTGTGGCTTTATGGGAGAGAGATTTCAAAGATAAACACCATACAGCAAAATCACCTGTAATTATCACTTTTAGTGGAATATATGAATAGGGGGAGAGAATAGATATATATTGGAGAGAGAGATTTTAGAAATTGATTGGGAAATTGGATAATATGATAATTTCTAATGGCTTATAGGAGAGAGATTTGAAGAATATTTTAACTCCAGATCTCCTGTCCATGATAACCCTGCCCAAGTTCATTGGGAGGGTGAAAGGGGAGAGAGAGAATTAAGAAGAGAGCAAGGGGCTTGGAGCAAGAAAAGGTATGGTGACGTGGACAACTGTCACGATCCCGGTTAAGGGCGTAACGTGAGTCCCTCTACTTCGAGGGAGAGGAGAGACCTCCGATAAAAAACCCAATGGTTCTTGGTAAAATTCTTTAATTAATATCCTCATACCATACTTACAAGAATATATATAAATTCCAATTAACATGACTAACTAACTAACCCCCCTACAAATAAGGCATTAAACATTAAACTCAGCTGTTTCACATATAATTACAGAAAATACTAACACCCTACAAATAAGGCATTAACCCCTATACGTTACTAATAACGTGTCCCCTTAATTTATCCCACTTCTACTCACCCGATTTTACTTACCCACTAATCACCTTCAAATCTTATCCTAATTCTCAGGTAGATAGGCCCACTAATAGATATATTTAATATTTTTTAATTATTCATAAATTGACCAAATTTCTATGTCAATCCAACATCTGCTGAACAGATCTGGTTCTGGTATTAGCTAGTCGCCCCACCATGAGAGAAGTAGCATGTTGAGAAGCTGAAACACATTAACTTCATTGCAAAGTTGAGTTCGCAGCTTCTATAATTTTATTTTTAACTTCTAAGATAATGCCAAATACGGTTTCACGGCACTTTGAGCTCCTCAACTCATTTTAAGCCAGAAACCAATAGGTGAAGAAAGAGCTCCCAAACGGGCACTAAGTGCCATTACAAGAGGGCTTTCATGCACCGGCCTCATCTTGTGGGGTTTTGTTGAAGAACCAAGTGTTGAGGTTATCTTAACTCCCTAGCATCATCCCTCTTGGTAATGGCATGAAATGTGACAAGTGTAAAGAAGACCCTTGTGAGAGTGGTATCATTCTAGCCTTTTCATTTCATCACTGAGAAAATAAGGGATATTATAAGAGCTTAGAATTAGAATTGAGGAAATTCAGTCTGGTACTATGACTGACTGATGCAACAATCGCTGAGGAAGAAAAGAGGAAATAGCGCTCCAAATGTGATTGGCTTGGCTGAATCACGACGATAAAAATACTCGCTTCTTTCACATTTCAGCTACCATCATATCCCAATACTAACTGAAACATTCTGATGGTAACTGGTCTATTCTTCTACTCCATTACTTCAAACAACTTTTATCTACTTCTCATCCCACTTTCATCAACTTACACTTACATGAGCACCTTTTATCGGTTCACACAGTAGAACTTTCACATCTTCAAGGGGTCTAAGACTGTACTGTTTTCCTTTAATTATCCCCTTATATTTGGAAATCCTCTCTAGAATGCTAAAAGGAGGCAATTTCTCCAGGTGAACTAAAAGGGTTCAAAATTGATAGAGCCAACCTAAGAGGAGAAGTTGAAAGCTCTATTAAATCAATTTTGTACTTGGTCGGGGCAGTGTGTGAACTTTGACAAATCATCAATTTAATTATTTTAGCAGAAATACACCCCCTATGTTAACAGCAGAAATTTAATCTGCATATCTACCTTAGGAGTGGCTGGAATGCAATTGAATAACAATGTACCTTGGGAACCCTCTGCTTTGGCGTCTCAAAGAAAAGAAAAAAACAGGAAAACTCTTGGAACTTCATCATTGATCGAGCCAAACCCAAATTGAAAGGCTAGAAATCGGGTGTTCTTTCTCATGATGAAAAAACTATTCTCATTAAGGCTACTCTTGCTTCACTCCCTCTTTATCACAAGTTTAAATCAGCCCCTCACAAGATAGTTTCCCACAACGTCCCACAACACATTCCTGCCTTGTATTGGAAATATCTCCCGATGATGCCTCATCATTTCCAATACTATCATTAGGAGATGTTCCCAAAACACGACAGGGATGTGTTGTGGGGCATTGTGGGAAACTATCTTGTGGGGGCTGATTTCAACTCCTTTATCACATGGCGACAGAGATTTTTGGTGGGGTAAGAAGGTAGGTACAAAATCCATTTATTTAAAATCATGGAATTCTTTCATGAAGCCTCTGGATAAAGGTGATTGATGAGAGGTAAATTGACCCGACCTAGCAACCGAGGTACACGTGGACGCAATCGGTCACTAGGATGACAACTCAGCAAGGGAGCCTCGCCAATAGCTCGGGAGCTCGAGAGCTTGAGCATCTCGGCATAAAATCATCTCGGCATAAAAGCACCTCGGCACTCAATTTAGTTCGGGGCCAAAAAACCAAAGCGCCACATAATCGACTCCAGAAGCTTCTCCAACGGACTCCAAATTCCCTGGGATCACGACATTTATTAACAAGGCTTATCCTCACTCTGCCCGAATCGGAGGGAATTGATAAACCTTATCAACTGACGCATTGCTCTCATTCGGAAACGGAACGGATCTTAACTATGCAGCCCAGAGATCTCGGAACCTTTTCGTAAGATTCACGACTACTCAACTATATAAGGGCATCGATCCTCAAAGTGAAGGTAAGTGCGATTATTTGCACACTAGCACTCTAGCACTCTAGCACTCAAGTATTGAGCTTGCATCCACAATACAATACTGATTTAAGCATCAGAGTGGCCTTGTCGAGTTAACCACCCCAGGTTCTCTGATCCTTTATCTTGCAGCTTGGTCCAGCTCGCCATGCGACTAGGGTCCAAGTCATCTTCTAGCTAGGAATATCCAAATCGCGCACTATCAGTGATGTTGGACTCAAAAAGCCCCATATATGAATAAAGCGTTGATAATGAAGATGACTAGCTTGGCGCTTTTAAAGGAAAAAGATGCTATTTGGGTTCAAATTTTACAACACAAATTTTTCCCTGATTCTTCCTTTTGGAGACAAAAGGTCAAGTCATCAGACTCACCGCTGTGGGCTAGTATGCTCAAGTGAACTAATTAGTGAATGGCAGGTAATTATCTTTGATGATCCTTGGATGAATATAGGTAGGGGTATCAACTGGACCAGATTTGGTCCAATCTGATCCAGTCTAATGTGATTCCGTTACAAATGGATCATATCCATCTAATCCAATGAATATTTTGAATCATTTTGGATCGGTCCAATTCAATGTCTGGATCGTCTAATTTGTTCAAATTTATTTTAATTTAGTTTGGTTTCAACCTAAACCTGGTTCATTCACACCTATATTCTTATCTTATATCAATAGATCAGATATTGGTTTAATCGAACCCAATCCAATATAAATTTATTATGGATGGACCAGGTCCAATCCAATCTAATAAATATTTTAGACTGGATTGGTCCAATCCAATATATCTTGTTGGTTCATCCAATCCGTCCAAATTTATTTTAGATTGGATGGGGTCAATCCAAAACCGGTCCATTGACACTCTTAAATATAGGCCTATTAGATAAATCCGATAACTAGAACCTCATGTGTGAGAAAGTAGCCATGCTTATTCATCATAACTCACACGCATGGAAGACAACTCCTGATGAAGGATTACTTTGATGATGAAACCAGAAATAACATTATCCACATTCACAACCCTAACACTAATAGGCTGGAAGAGGATCGTTTGATCTGGACCTTTACCCCTCATGGAAATTATTCATGCAACTCTTATAAATTACTTTGCTGCAACACACCGGAAAACTCTTGAGCCTTGTGGTTATGTCCTAGCCTTACTTCGAAAGCTTTTTGGTGGTGGCGGACATGGTGGGCATGGTGGTGGTGGTCAAGGTTCAAAGTATCAGAAATACAAGGTGTATTAGAAAGACAATTTTAAGAGACGTATTAAGATATGCTTTGGATACATATGGATATGGATGAAAAATTAAGATACGCATAAATATGGTAGAAAATTCAAATAAATCCTAAAAATTATATTTACAAATTTTATATAATTGTAAACAAGTCATTTAAATGTAAAAAAACATAATTTAATGCTATATATGAAGTGTGACATATCAGGACACAATTAGTAACCGTTGAAAAATGATAGAATAACTAAAATGTAAAAACCAATATAATTAGTCTTAATATTTATTAGTATATAAATTTTAAAAATTAATTCTATTATTTATTAATAAATACTTGTCACTCATTAAGAAAAGTGAAAATTTACTTGAGGTTAAAAATACATATAATCATAGCAAACAAATATGTGTGGCCCATCAGTAAACTTGTGTTTGCTAAAACAAAGTGATCAAGATTCAAATTTTTTTATACCAAAAATTTGAAGTTTTTATACTAACAAAATGAAATTAATGAGAGGGAATCGTTAATTAAAGGAATTAATGTGAGAATTTAAATTAGGCGCTAAAATTCAAATTTAAATTTAAATTTGCCTTAGAATAATTGACTAATTAGTGAAAGAGAAATTAGACTTAAATAAATGACATTAATGAAAGATTCGATATTAAATATGGATTAACAAAATTAATGATGAACCGAATCAAATGTATCAAATTCTATTTTCGATATGGGTCTGATACGTACAAAAAAGAAATGAAACAAATGAATTATATACATTACGATATTTTGAACCTTGGAGGTGGTGGTGGTGGCGGTGGCGGTGACAGTGATGGTACCGGTGGTGGCTGTAGCAATGATAATGGGCACCAATTTCCTATAAGGTAACCAAACAACATTGAAACGACGGAAGAACAATTCTCCAGCATCTTTTAAAATTACACTTGCATGTAGGGTTGGAAAATTTGACCCCAACCCACTTAACCCACCCAATTCAACAGTGGGTCAAGATGGGTTGAATGAATCATAAGGGTTAGGGTCAATTGGGTCAAGGACTCAAGGGTGACCCTTGACCCTCTCTTTAGGGAAATTAGGTTATTCTCCCAAAATTCTCTCTCTCTCTCTCTCATTTCTCCGATCAACCATCTCTGTCTCTCACTCAAATCTTCCGACTGTCGTAGTGTCTCTTCTTTTAGAAGCCTCACATATACAGAAGTAAACGCCACCTCCTATACTTAAAATGGTTCCTACCACTTTTGCCAATTCATCTCTTCTTAAGATATTAACTTGCTCAAGCCTGAGAGAGAGATGTCATAGAAGACTTTCATAAACAACCATAAAACATTTATTTATTTTGGAATTAAAAAAATCCTCTAATTACCCAAAAGCCGAAGCCATGACAAAAGTAATTGCTGGAATTGAGTTTTGTATTGCTGATACAAAGGTTGGAGACGCATAGTATAGATCAATGAGATAAAGCCCTTGAGTACCAGCGACCCTGGACACAAGACAAATCAATAAGAATAAAACTATACAGACAAAAGGAATTGAACAACTAATACTGAAAGTCTCAGCAAATTTCCACCTACCCTAATAATGCAAGGAAGAACTTAACCAACAAAGAAGAAGAAAGAGGTGGTCTTGCTTCCCTGAGTATTAAAACCAGTCATGTTTCGTTATAAATACAATAAAGAAGAAGAAGAAGACATGTGTACTACTTTAGAAACATGATCAGATCGAGATAAATTATTGACTCACTTCTCTAAGAAATAAGCAAAGGGTCCCAACAAAAACACTGCAATGATGTTTCTATACACTGTGAAAACAACTTTGCTGAAGCCCATGTCGAGTGCAACTCTCCCGATAATGGGAAATACAGCACTTAACAGCTGAAGAGTAAGCAGCCCCAATAGAAGCTTCAACATTTCACTGAATACTTGCTTTTCCCCAAAATTCCTCTCTCTTCTTCTTCTCGACTTAATTAACTGAACAAAATATATGAATACAAGATTCCAGCTAGGTTGGTGAGCACCAGTAACTTTGTCAACAACAAAAGATAACCCTTTGAGCTATAATATATGGGCTGCAACAGTCACAGATCTAGATCTACGGACAAAAGTAACTGAAGAGAAATTGTGCAACAGGTACAAAACATGGTTTTTAAAACCGACCCGGTGACCGAATCGGTCAGGGGTCCGGTTAGCAGGTCGAACGGTCTGACCATTTGAATCAAATGCTCAGCCCGTTCTAACAAAAAAATTAAAAAATTAAAAACGGTCAAAACTGTTTGAACGGTTAACCACCCGGTTTGATGGTTTATTGATCAAAATCAACAGTTTTAGAGGAAAATCCGGTTTTTGAGAAAAACAAAACCAGTCACCTAACTAATTCCCGATTTTTCGGTCCAACCGTCCAGTCCAGTCCGATTTTGAAAACCATGGTACAAAATATGGTCCAGCTTATCCCAACATACCGACGTAGCAACTGGCCACCACTCAGTTCGTGTAAGAAGAGACTCACTTTATTATTAGATTTTGCTCGGAAAATCACTAAGAGGTGAAAGCAAGTTGCTCTAATTTCTTTCTTTTGTCTTGTAGGCAAGAAGATCTTGGGTCAAACCACTAAGAATTAGTTGAGATTCTCTACTAGATCATGATAAAAAAATTAAAAAGAAAAAATTATTCAGGATGAAATGTGACTTCTTAAAACTTCATTGTCATATTTAAAATAATGGATAGTACCAATCATATACAGGCCGCTATACATCAATACACAATGTTTCTCTATAAAAAAATGTTGATATACCGATTTGAATTTGGATCACCAGAGCAAGCCTAAAGCCTTGCACCTTAAGTGCAATTAATATTACTAAAAAAACTCTAACTAAAATTTCAAAATGAATACAAAAAAACTAAAATTTCAAAAGAATAATATTTAAAAATAGTATTTTATAAACTAATACAATAAATAATCTATCAAATCCATGTTTATATAAAAATATGATTTTTAATATCAAGAAAATTATACAAATAAAATATTAAGAATAGAATAATTATTTTAATACTTAAAATTTATAAATTTGTAAATAATGTGCATATTAAAATTATTATTTAATATTTTAATTTATATTAATAAGTAATAATTGCATATTTATTATTTATAAAAAAGAAAAATATTTAAGAATATAACATTCAATTAAATTGATCAAATCCATTAATCTATATTTATTTCAAAAATTATTTTTCATATTAGAAAAATTATATAAATAAAATATTAACAAAGGAGATTAATTAAAAAATAGTTTGGAATTCTCCAAGTTCTTAACCAATGTTTCTAAACTTTTTGAAAACGCAATGTTTCAAATTCTAAGCTCCACTGGACTATAACTAGAAAAGTTAGAAATTACCATATTGGATTATACAAAGAATTTATATCTATATGTTAAAGTCAAAAGGTCTACACCAGAGGCCCTCTCCTTTCTTCCTTGCTATTTATGTTTTCTCTATTTTTTAACTTTTTTTCTTTTTTTAAATGTAAAATCACTATCTCTTCTATGCTGCCCAAACAAATATGCAATATTATTCATCACATGTCAATAATATATGCATGGGACCCATAACCACTCAATCTCTCATTTCACGGTTGGTATGGGGTGTTTATCACTCAATCTCTCATTTCACGGAAATATCCCTATTATCTAAGACTAGTATATATATATATATATATATAATATAAATTTTAAAAATTTTTAGTTGATCTTAGGGATGCAAACATATGGATCATATTTGAATTATAGGGTATATCCAAATCCAATCCAATAGCTCATATCCGGGATCCTATTCAATCAGGTCTCATAAATGGTGATTCAAACTCAAATCCATTCAGGAAGTCGGATATCCGAATCTAATCTGATCTGATTCAAATTCTAAAAATTTTAAACCATATCTAATCTGAATCTAATATTTTTAAAATTGATGTATAAAGAAAACCATATCTAGGTGGCAGTAAGAAGTTAAACCATTTTGTGTTAAATGGGCCAATCCATGATGTCATAATTAAACAATAAACATTCAAAATTAGATAAAATACAAAATCTAAAATCAATTAAGAGATGAAATGATATCATAGTCAAATAATCAAATTTTAAAAATAGAAACTACAAATAATTACAAAAATATAGAAAAAAAAACATAGAAACTTTTGGACTCATATTTGATGTTATATATTTATAGAAAATAAAAAATTTGATACTACCTCTAATATTATATATTCATTATATTATATTCAGAAACTTAATATTACCTCTTGATTGACATTGACATTATCGGTATGAGCCACCCAAAACCAAACAAAAGTCACAACTGGGAGAGAAGCATATAGACTCAAGAAACCTTAAAACATAATTAAAAAAAAAAAAAAGAAAACTTAAAAGACAGTTTTACAAACTAATTGACCATTAGGAAGAAGAAGAAGAAGAAACGAAATAGAAGAGGAGAATAAGATGATAATTTTCGAATCAAAAAAAAAAGGCTAGTATATAAGATAACGGAAATATCCCTATTATCTAAGACTAGTATATATATATAATATAAATTTTAAAAATTTTTAGTTGATCTTAGGGATGCAAACATATGGATCATATTTGAATTAGGGTATATCCAAATCCAATCCAATAGCTCATATCCGGGATCCTATTCAATCAGGTCTCATAAATGGTGATTCAAACTCAAATCCATTCAGGAAGTCGGATATCCGAATCTAATCTGATCTGATTCAAATTCTAAAAATTTTAAACCATATCTAATCTGAATCTAATATTTTTAAAATTGATGTATAAAGAAACCATATCTAGGTGGCAGTAAGAAGTTAAACCATTTTGTGTTAAATGGGCCAATCCATGATGTCATAATTAAACAATAAACATTCAAAATTAGATAAAATACAAAATCTAAAATCAATTAAGAGATGAAATAATATCATAGTCAAATAATCAAATTTTAAAAATAGAAACTACAAATAATTACAAAAATATAGAAAAAAAAAACATAGAAACTTTTGGACTCATATTTGATGTTATATATTTATAGAAAATAAAAAATTYGATACTACCTCTAATATTATATATTCATTATATTATATTCAGAAACTTAATATTACCTCTTGATTGACATTGACATTATCGGTATGAGCCACCCAAAACCAAACAAAAGTCACAACTGGGAGAGAACAATAAGCATATAGACTCAAGAAACCTTAAAACATAATTAAAAGAAAAAAAGAAAACTTAAAAGACAATTTTACAAACTAATTGACCATTAGGAAGAAGAAGAAGAAGAAGAAGAAGAAGAAGATGATGATGAAGAAGAAGAAGAAGAAACGAAATGGAAGAGGAGAATAAGATGATAATTTTTGAATCAAAAATAAAAAAAAGGCTAGTATATAAGATAACGGAAATATCCCTATTATCTAAGACTAGTATATATATATATATATAATATAAATTTTAAAAATTTTTAGTTGATCTTAGGGATGCAAACATATTGAATCATATTTGAATTAGGGTATATCCAAATCCAATCCAATAGCTAATATCCGGGATCCTATTCAATCAGGTCTCATAAATGGTGATTCAAACTCAAATCCATTCAAGATGTCGGATATCTGAATCTAATATGATCTTATTCAAATTCTAAAAATTTTAATAAATTATTAAATAAAAAACATAACAATTTATATAAAAATAAATAAAAATATAAGTATTTTTCAACTATTTTCATCATATATATTAATATATACATATCTTTTTATAGAAAATTTACAAAAAATGCAACTAAACATATTTATAAATAAATATGCTAATAAATATATTAATATATACATATATTTTTATAAATAAATATATACATATATAGGTCGAATCGGATAGGGGTGTTCCAAATTCGAATCGATTTCAATCACATCCTATTATCTGATCCGATCAGATCTGAAATCCAATAAAAGGTCAAACTATAGTAACAATGGGATAAGAATAAGCATTGGAATGATTTGGAATAAAAAAGGTTGAGTTAATTATATAAATTGTAGATTCCCCTGCATCAATAAAATATGAGGAGGGCCCATGGCTTCTCCGTCGCTGAATTCTCAAGACCATGAACATCCATCGAGCATCAACCACACCCCCTTGCTTGTAATTCTAACCTGTATTCTTCCACTCAAACAAAATAGTAATTTAGTAGGGGATCAATTTATTATATTTTTTAGGGTAAATTATAAAGACCTCCTGTACTATGGAGTCTGTGATAAAGACTCCCTGTACTTTTTTTTGCGACAGAGGCCCCCTCTGTACTATAACCATGAAACAAACACCCCCTTGCGTTAACCTTCCGTCAAAATCTGCCGTTACAATATTTTTTAATCACCATACTACCCTTGAAAGAAAAACACTATTCATCTTTCCCGATCTCGCAATCGCAGCAGACTTCCAAAGTCCTCTCTCTCCTGATTTCTCTCTTCCCCTTCCAAAGAGAGAAGGGCGTCCTTCATCGACCTCGCAGGTGATTCGGAGTTCCAAATGATGTCGACAAGAGCGAAGATGATATCTCGCTTGGCTCCAATAATGAGTTGATACTCATCAACGACGAGAAGGCTGTAAAGGGTCGTGGCGGCAGTTTGAACAGTTGTAGGGGTCAAAGTGGAGAGGCGGAGAACGTGGGAAAGCACATCAAGAAGGCCGCGAGTAGACATGAGCACATCGCGGTTGGAGATGGAGATGTTAAGAAGAGTAGCCACCACGTTTTCCTAGGCGACGGTGGAGCCAGCTTCTATGGTTGTGGTTGTGCTTCTGAGCCTCCCTAGCTCTCCTGGGTTGATTGATGCGAGGCCGATATAACCAGAGTTTGTTCATATAAATATGCATGCGCCTATAACTAGACACTCTTGAAGCTGAACATGACAAACTGTGAATGCAATTAGACCAGTAGGGCTGCTGAATGAACAATTTTGTAGAACCAAGAATGACACCAGAAAATCTCGCAATACTCCTAAAAGGATACAGAAAGCAATAAATCCAAAATACGAAAAAAAATGAAAAGCTGCAAATCAAAGAAAATCAAACCCCAAATAATAAATTAAAAGAAAAAGAAACAAAAACTCCAAGGGTTGTTGTGGAGAAAACGATCAAAACCTGTCGGGATTCATGATTAACATCACACTAATAATTTCAGTGGATTGACAGACCATGAATTTCATCGTCACCTCGTCTTCCCCCAACATCTGGTATGAAGGAACGGCTATCCGGGTCGTGCTTGGAGATGAAACAAAGCTCACAGATCACCTCGATTTGTTCTGAAACAGAACTTGGCCTCTGAACCAGAGAAAAATGGGAAGGGGAAGAAGAGAGATCGGGGGAGAGGGAGGGAGGACTTTGAAAGTCTGCCCGCTACTATTCATGATCGGGAGGTCAGGGAAGATGAACAGTGTTTTTCTTTCAAGGGTAGTATGGGGATTAAAAAATATTGCAACAAAAGAAGTCTTTGTCTCACGGTCATAGTACAAGAAGGTCTTTATCGCAAAACAAAGTAAAGGAGGGTATTTGTCACAGACCCCATAGTACAGGGGGTCTTTGTAATTTGCCCTATTTTTTAGTAATGAATAAGAGGCAGATAATGACACCCATGTCTCAAGACCCATTTAAAATCTAAAACTAAAACAATAAGTGAAGTGACTCTTATATCCTTATAATTTTCCAAAATGACAACGGACAAGGGACCATCAAACTACCTCTCCTTGCAAGTTTAGGGTCAGAGTGATTTGGGTTCTTGGAGCAGGTTTCTGGACCAGGGAGGAAGAAATTGAGGAGACAAATTAGATAGAATCCTTCCCTTATATCTCTATTCACTCAATATTCACCCATACATTTTTTCTTATTTTACATCCAAATTATTTTTTAAATTTTGCCAATTTTGTTCTTTTGTGTTAAGTTCTCTTTGAGTGCTCTCATTTTATCTCCTCTAAATTCTATTCATCAGCTTTCATATTCACTCTGACATTCATGGAATCACAGGGATAAACTTGATAGTTTACAACATGCTCCTCTTGCCTAATGATCTGATCTAATCAATTCCAACTAAATTTATCAGTAAAGCGAGCTATATAGATTGGCTCGTGTGAGATAATCATGAGCTTTATTTTCAAAGTTGTGACTTAAGTTAAAATTACGACTCAATCTCAAAGTCCTGCTCGTTTAGCTACAGAATATTGAGATGATGAAACTGGGTGAGGACTTAGACTCCCGACAAGCATCGGCCCATTTATGCGGATCATATATATTTCCCGTACCTGATCCCGATTTTGAAATAAAATATCCTGTTTTTGAATTTTTTTATTTAATAACATTTTTTTAATATAAATTTACTTAAATAAAGAATTTTTTTAAATATAAATACTATTTTAAATATATTTTGATATATAAAATATAAATATAGAATATCATATATGGAATAATATATATTTAATATGAACAATATTATTATCATTGCCTTATTGGGATTGGGCCGGGCCAGGGATTCCATTCCCTCCCCAGTTGGGATCTCTATTAATCCCCATCCCCATCTCTGCCCGCAAAAGCAATCCCAATCCGAAGTTAGTAATTGTCAGTTGCAACGCTTCGAATCCTAACTTCTCTCTGCTTAGCAGCAATTTAACTTGAGGGGTAACATTCATTTGAGACAAGAATACATGATCTGTTTTGGATGGACAGTTTCAGACTTCCATATGACAGTCTTTCAGGGAAAACATATGCTTTGACACTTATAAACTTAAGATATCTACCTTCTAGTTTGATGAAAATTAAACTAAAGTTGGGACATGCATAATAAAGGGACTCGTATTAGTTGGAGAAAGTATGATCTTAAGGCCTCGTATGCTTTTCAGTAAGTTATTTATCCTGGTAAACGCATTTATTCAGGTAAATTTTTTAAGTTCATTTGTGATCTATTCATGTTCTTTTATTTTCTGGGTAAATAAGATAATGGCTATTTTAAACATAAAAATCCATTATTAAAAGGGTATTTTTGCCCTATTCAAGTGTTAGTAACATCTCTTGGCAGGTGAGAAAGATATTTTTCCAACTATGAGATGGGTATACCCAGGGCCCCACATAAATTTAAGAAAAGAACATGTGTTTCTTGGTCAATGGGAACCAAGTAAAATAGCATGAAATACAGGTAAAATAGTACATAAATTCATATATATGCCTTCCAATAATATATGGGTCGGGAAGTGTTGGATTTAGCCTAATACCATACCCTATTTGTATCTGAATGGGCTGTGAAATCCCATAACCCATTCCAGCCCAAAATCCTTTTCTTCAAGGGAAAAACCCTCTCCTTGGATCAGATAGGGGTGGGTACCCACCAGTTATGATAGAAATTGTCATCCTAAGGCTGAATTTGGAAGGAGTGCAAATGCAAATATGTAGAGTGTAAAACCTTATATTTTGTATTATTTTGTATGTATTTACGCTGTACGCATTTGCATTTGTAAATACAAATCATGATTAACATGTTTCTCCTGGGTCAAGTCACACTCCGTCTGTATAGAAATTGAATGTTGCTACTTGATAGGAAGCTCATGTGCCCGGGTTAGGTTCAGTGAATGCTTTTAAGTGACAGAGATTAGAAGATTGAAGATACAGAGCTCAAAGCAGGCATATGCCAACAATCTATGTGGCATAGATTGCACCATCAAAACCTAAGGTCCTAATTCAACCACATATGTGCTAGCTCCAAATGATTGTACAATGATCAAGTTACTAAAGCTCAATAGAAAATTCATTCTAGAAAAGCATGGAATGATTAGTTGGAAATGAAGATGACTGAAGAAGTGAAGAAGAGCCCCCCCCACCAACACACACACAGTTAATCTCCTCTCTCTGATCTGATATATTGACACATTGTCGATGCACAACCTGTCAAACTCCATACCTTCAGCAAAATTCTAGGAACGAAGTCCAGACATTAGACGGTATTTTAAATTTTTTCAGACAATCAATTGTCTCAGATCCTTATTAATCCCAAAAATCTGAACCGCCTTGATCTCTTAAAAAAATGAGTTTTCATGGAATGTCTGATACAACTGCACTTTCTTGGCATACAGTATTTTTCTCACAAAGGAGATGCCTTGTCAAAGCCTCTTCCTTCCTTTCTCGGAATTTCCTTTCTTCATTTCTCCCCCAAAGAACTGAGTAAAGACCAATGATGATGAGTATTACCCCAATAATCCTGCAAGGCAAGAAAGCAAAATATCAAATTAGAATTATAATGGAGTAAGCATTCATCCTTCTAAGCTCCAGAAAGCTTTACAAAATTGCTATAATTTTCTTGTCCTTTCTCACACACCCTCCTGTGTATAACTGATCGCTAAGTATGAGACAAGCTAGGACTGCGACTATAACTGTCGACACTGGCTGGAAGACAGCAACAAAAACAGGTCTTCCCTTGTCTATACACCACATTTGAAGAGCATACACAATTCCAGTTGCCACTACTCCCTAAATTCAAAGGAAAAAATTCATATCAGATTAGTAATAAAATTCATATGTTATGTGGAAACTAGTAATTAAAGAAATGGGTCATAGGTTTTGAAGTCAGTACAGCATAGAGAATGATTAAAAGCTCCTGTACTGAGTGGATTTTCCAGTGCTCGCTGTCTGTTTCTGCAAAATTTGCTATTACCAAGAATTGTAGTAGTCCGAAGAGGCATGTAAAGGTAGTAATAGAGAGTTTAGCTGGGTATTTTCTTACGACTGAAGCCTGCAAAAAAAAATCAAGTTAATTTGTATATCAGGAAAGAAAGAAATATAATCATTAGAAGTGAATGAAGATTGGAGAAGGAATAAAAAAATGAAAAAAGTTAAAGAATGCCTTCAAAAAAAGGAATAGGAACTCAGGGAAATTAAGATACTAATCTCTAAAGTAATTAGATTCTATAGAAGGAAAATGGTATGTATCAACGTATGTATGTATACTGCAGATATCATCACGAAGATTAAAATACTTGTTGTGGTCATGATCACTAATGGCTGACCTGAAGTAAGATCCAAGCAGACCATGACAAGCAATGCCCAATTAGGTAAAGACAACCTAACGTCCAGTTTTTGACTTCTGTGATATGGAGAAAGATGCTGCGTACTACTGTATTTCCCGGTGGGAGATCGTTGAGATGAAAAAGAGGAGGGCCTTTGTAGAGAGTGATAATGGTGGCACCTCCTACACATAAAATGGTTCCCACCACTTTTGCTAACCCGTCTCTCCTTAAGAAATTAACCGGCTCAAGCCTGAGAGAGAGAGAAAGAGAGAGATGACAAGCAGATCCTATCTTCGTAATAACTTGTGATGAGTTTCTGATAAGAACCTCCAAGTACCTCAGCGCTGAAGCCAGTGCAAAAGTAATTGCTGGAACTGAGTTTTGCATTGCTGATGTAAATGTTGGAGATGCGTAGTACAAACCAAGGAGGTAAAACCCTTGATTAGCTGTGACCCTGAAAAGAAAAGACGAGCAATTAAGGAGCAAATTAATTGCGTACTCTATCTCTCTCCCATCCCCACATTATAAAAGATGATCATAAACTCCCCAAATCTAGCTACTTGACTCTTACCCAAATAATGCAAGAGGGAAGAATTGAAGCAGCAAAGAGAAAGTAAGAGGTGGTCTTTCTTCCCTGATTATCAAAGCCAATATAATCTTGTTTGCTCAAGCAATAAGAATAAAGAAACAGAAACATAGCCCATCACCCTAATATGAAAAAACAAAAAACCATAAACTAACTCACTTCTCTAAGAAATAAGCAAAAGGACCCAACAGAATCACTGCAATGACGTTTCTATATACTGTGTAAACAATTTTGCTGACCCCCATGTCAAGTGCAAGTCTAGAGACAATATGAAGTCCCGCAATACATAACTGAAGAGTAAGTAATCCTAGTAGGAGCTTCATAATTCTCAGACTGAACGCTTTCTCCACCCAATTCTTTTGCTCTTGATCCCTTCAACTTCGAATGACAACAATATTCAAAAGGGAAGATATTTATATCGATGAGAGAACCAAATTATGGAGCGTGTATGATTGATGCCTAGAGTGCATGAACCCGAGAATTATATATATAAATATTGTTGTATGTAGTATATTATTGACATGGAACTTCTTTAATTAATGATTTCATTTTTGTCTTTGTTTCTTTCCTTATTCCAATTAGCTTGCTGACATGACAATTGGATGGACATTTGGCACGTTGGCCAGGTCATTCCAGCCCCACATCATGTATTTAAAAGTATGTAATGTTTTTAGGCATCAAGGAGAACAGTCAACCCCAGATCAACTCCGCCAGCAGCTAGCATGCATCCGCCCACAGGTTGCTTAAGGTGGTGGCTCAGCCAGCAGCGTCGCTCATTGGGTAGTGAACTAGTGATAGCCATTGCCCAGAGCAAGATATGCAATTTTAACTTATTCTCCATCACCCATTAATTAATTAGTTCCTTTTATATATATAACCCTTTGTCTAAATCTTGTCAAACCATGGGCATTGCTAATAAGGTATATTAGTGTCATCTGGTACTAATATGGTATAATTAATTCTTTAAGAACTTTATTAATTCAAAGAAGTCGGCATCATGCATGTCTTGAATGGGTAACTTGACAATGGCGGATATATCGGTAGGCTGCATCATTTTTGAATGGTCAGAAAGCTTCGGCACCACCAGCCAGAAAAGGTACTATTCGTTTGATGGCATGGCTAGACACTCTCTAATCAAGCTGGATATTTCTCAGATAGCCTAGCTATATACTTCTATAAATTGAAAGATATATAGTATCACATCACAGCTGCAGGTTTTTAGTTGATTTAATTTGTTAGAAGACGAATCAGATATAACTGCAAGGAATTAAATGGAGGTAGCAGAAGTAATAGGGGAATTAGGAGAATGGTTATTCTTCATTTTTCTCAAGTTAGCTGGGAGGATTAAACCAAGTCAAATTAAGAACATTTCAGCAACCCGCTCGCAAGTCACAACCATTGAAATAATCCCATAATGCAGACTTAATAGTCCGAAAAGGCAACTTGAACTGTGTGATTTGGAATGTAGAAGGAAGATTCATCACTTCTCTCATAAGTGTCCAAGGAAGGAGATCGATCGAGTCTGCTGGTAGGTTGTTTGTCCAAACTTATATGGTGCAAACGACAGGCATGAGAGGATGATGTGGGCCATTAACTTCAGAGATTCTGCTAAAAGGATCCGAGGCTTCTCATGCATGTATAAATCCAAGTTCAGAAATTTACTTATTTTTTACTGCGAAGTGTCACAAAATGCCGCCATTAATGTTAGTTCAATGCTATGAACGTTTGTATCAAAGCTGCCGTCTCGATCTTTGTTTTATTTTCTTTGGAATATATTTCCCGTAAGGCTATGTTTGATTTAAAGGAAAAAGGTAAGGAAAGGCAAGGAACCTATACAAGATTTTTAAAGGTTTTCTTACCTTTTCTTTCCTTTCCCTACTTTTTCTTTCAAACCAAACACAGCTTAAAGGTGAAACAGCGGTCTGAACCCTAAGACTAAAATCCTCTTGGATTGGCCAATTCTTACCTCGCTGTACGTATCATCTCCATGCCCAGTTAATTTGTTGGACTCTTCTTCCTAATGACATTACTTATTGAAATTTCAATTTTTTTTTTTTGTTAAATAATACGTTAGCTTACAGTTTATACTGTATAGCTGCATTTGGCTACGTGTAAAAACGAAGCAAAAAGAATGATTTCCAGAGAAATACTGCACAATGGTGTTTGGTTAAGGTAGAATGGCCATCGACATGATCATGTGTGTAGTTATTGATGGGCTACAATCATAAGTTTTCATAAGTCATTTTCCAAAGGGTTAGTGCTTTCGTTCAAATCTCGCTATATCCATACATTGAAAAGTTATTTTAGGGAAAATTTCTTATCAGTATCCTGAACTTTAGGGGTTGTCTCAAGTCAGTTTCTAACTTTCAGAATGTATCTGATGATGCGCGATTTGGTTCGTCCTACCTGCCGGTTACCTTGCTTCTGACGATATTGGAGGTGCCTGAAACAAGGAAGAAAATGGAGATTTCCGAGGAGGAACTCGGTTGGGACACACCGAAGCTCAAGTTAGTGTTTTTCAGAAGGAAAGGGAAATGAGGAATTCTAAGACCAGAAAACGCAAGAATCACATACCCTCTTCTTTGTGAGATGGGGGCCCTTTATAATCAGCCTGTACACTCACTTCCACGCCTTTGCCAGTTCGGGCATCATTACCTCTACCAGATCGAGTCATTTCCTCTGCCAATTCGGGTGTCATCTCTTCTGCCAATTGTCAACTCGGGTGTCATAGCCTCCAATACCAGTTGTCAGTTCGGGTGTCATAACCTCCACTGCTAGTTGCCAGGGCTGCCTCTGTCCGTCACGGTGGCAAGTGGCCGTTGGATGGCGGCTGTCATGTGTCAGTCCCCTAATCAGTCAGGTGCACCGTCTCCGTGTACGGTCTCCTGGGCGTCAAGTACGGTTGTTCAGCCAGGCGGCTTGGAGCCGAAGTGGTGTGCGAGGCGAAGTCTTGAGTTCRGACARAAGTATGGCMTGAAYTGCCCCTGGGTGGGCAGTTTGGGTCTTTTGCCTTTTGTGCTCCTTGCAAGGCTCAGGACCTCGAAGGGAGAGCTCGGGTTCCTCCTTGGGGAGCTCGGGACTCTTTACCTTGGAGCTCGGGTCGTAGGTTCCTCGAGGGAGCTCGGCTCTTTAGTTCGGAGCTCGGGTCGTAGGTTCCTCGAGGGAGCTCGACACTTTTGTGCTCCCTGCTGCCGTGCCGAGCTGGCGCTTCTGCCAAGTCACTCTCGGTTGCTTCCACGTGTCGCGTGGCCAAGGGGTCGGGTCAAATCTTCCTCCATCAATTGCCCCCCACTCCCTATGGTCGGGGTCTTGGCCCGGCGTGGGGAGTCCACGAAATGACAAGTGGATTTGCCTCGGGACACTTTGGCCTTGATCAAGAACTTTTCTGGTCCGGTCTGCTTATGTTCTCGGCTCAACCGGGGTTGGCTTGGCTCGACCAGGGGTTAATCTCGGGCTGCGTGTGGCTCACCCGCACAAACGATTTTCAAATTCTCAAACGTGCGCGCCGAACAATTTCAAACTTTCGAACGCGCGCGCCAAACAATTTCAAACTTTCGAACGCGCACGCCAAACAATTTCAAACTTTCGAACGCGCGCACCAAACAATTTCAAATTTTCGAACGTACAGGCAAAAGTGTCATTTCTTTGGGGAGTGCGCAAGTACAGTGGCTTTAAATAGTGGGGGGACCCCCAGTCGCTTTCCTCTGTTATCCTTCACCGTTTGTTCCTTGAGCTCGCGTCACTCGTTCGCTGTTCGGTAGCTTTTTCTGGTGAGTCCTCAGCCCTCTTAGTTTCAATGTCTAGCTCGGGTAGTTTAGGTAGTCTCCTGGGGGGGGTCTGATGCTGGTTCTATGAACTGAGTTGCTACCCCCGACAATCTTAGTGAGTCCAAGGCGGGGCCCGAGATAGAGCTCGAGGAAGAGCTCGAGTTCGAGCCCGTAGGCCGAGTCACCTCGGGTAGCTTGGCATCCACCTCCCGCCGAGGTCGGGTGCCAGACAAATTCGGACCCTCTACTATGACGTCCGAAAGTCTTTGGTCCCTTATCGTCCAGTACAACCTGTCCGGGGAGTATACTTACTTTTTACCCTTAGGCGACTTTCCATGGGAGCACGGTCTGGATGAGATCGTGATATTTCTGGAGCAGCTTGTTGCTAGGCTGCACCTTCCCTTCCATCCCCTAATCGTCGAGGTTATGAACCACTTCGGCGTCACTATAGGTCAGCTTCACCCAAACTCTATCTGCAACCTTGTCGGGACCATCTCCCTTTGCTGTAAGCACTGCCTTCCCTTGGATTTGGAGATTTTTTCCGCTATTCTCATGCTTAAGAAACAAGCGGGTCCCCTACCCGGGCGTAGGAGGGCGTACTACTTGTCACCTCACCCGAGCTTCAAGCTATTACATGATCTCCCAAACAAGGTCTCGACGTAGAAGCGGGACTACTTCGTGGTTCAAAGTGCTACGGGGTGGCCGTTTCCCACTGAGTGGAGTTTGGCCGCTCCTGACCCCGGTGTTGTTTTAGATGAAGATACAGTGAAGGGCCTCCGGGACTGGGCCCGTCTTGGGCTAAAATGCGAAGCCTATCTGACGGAGGAAAAACTCATTCAAGCCGGTCTGAGTTCGGGTAGGTTTCTTGCTCAGATAAAGGTACTTTTGTTTCTGTTTTTATTCCCGTTTTCTGACGCCGAGCTTCTTTTTGCAGGTGTTATGGAGGCAGACAAGACTCAAGGTGCGAACTTGTTTGTTGGCATGAAGCGGAAGAAGCGAGCTGCTAAGCGAGTTCGCACCGATCCTTCCCGGGTGGCAGAGCCCGAGGTACCGAGGACGGAGCCTCCTGGGGAGCCCGAGGTGCCCCCTTCAGTTCAGGAGGCGACAGGGGCTCCCTATGTTGACTCTGCCTATACCTGGGCCGCGCCTTCGGGCTCAGGGAGCTGCGGTGGGATTGGGAGCGTGCTGACGCCAAGCTACGCTCTCCAAAAAAGCAAGGCCGCCACTTTTTCTGAGGAGGTTGCGCAATGGGCCAATCTCCCTACCAATCACATAGGTGCTCGAGCTGCAACTCACGCCATGGTGGTAAGTCGGAGTGGTTTTTTTTTTGCCGAGCTGATTTGTCCTCGCTCTGGTAGGTGAACTCCTCTATCCACGCCTTGGCGCTCGAGGCGGAGAGATGTTTGAGACGGGCAGAAGCTGTCGAGGCGGCTTCTCCTGCTGCGCGGGCTGAGCTATCGAGGTCTCAGAGTGACAAAGAGGCCTTAGGAATGGTGGTGAGACATATGGGCGACCTGAAGTTGGACCTGGAGCACCAGGTCGAGTACCTTCAGGGAGACATTAGGGAGAAGATGCAGATCTTTTCTCAGGCCATTGAGGAGGCGAAGAAGAAAGCCGTTGAGGATTATGTCACCTCGCCACACTTTGACGACATGATGGTGGGCTCGTA